ATTCTGATATTATTTTTATGTTGTAAATCTTAAACTGTTACGTTATTGTTCTATCTTCCTATGTGAGAAAAAAGTAAAATGTTTTAAAATTTTGACATGGATAATAATATAATTGTAAATCTATAATAATTATATTATCATTTTATTTATATTTTTCAAAAAGAAATATATTTATCTTAATAGATTTAATATGATAATGTCAAATATAGTTATAAATCTAAAAGAGTTATGTTATTATTCCATCCTTTTATGAGAAAAAAGCAGATATTCTCTTAAATTTTTAAATTAACGTGGATAATAATAAATAAATGATAATTTTACTAATATGATAATGATTCGGTTTTAATCTTACCAAAAAAACAAATAATGATTCTGTTTTAAAAATATATAAATTTTCTTTGTTTAGTTGTAGATATTGTCATATAAAAAATTCTTAGATCCTCCACTGCCTTAATTTTATGTAAATACCTTGCTTGATATTTAATTTTGATTTGATATCATAACTAATCCTTGCTTTTTTTTTCGGCACTAACCATTGAATTTTTTATACTGCCATTTAATTCTTGCATAAAAAAATAATAATTAATAGTAGTGTTTATTATGAATGCAGGTTTGTTTTCCATAAAAACTAGATTGGATTTATGGAAGCACGTCATTGTTTCCAGTGCGAGGAAACAAATGTCGTATAACTGCTGTTGTGGCTCTTTAGTACTTTCGTTTCTGTTTATGGCTTTGCTTCGGTTGTATGGTTAGTCATCAATCATTGATCTTCTCATTGTTTGAATATTGTTGCATAGGAAAAATCTTCCTTTTTTATGAATCTTTCAAAAGTTGGGTCCATGCTATTCTCAGTGATTGATTACGTTTATTGAATATTTGTGTGCTTCCTCTGCTGATATTCTAATTCATGCTTTATTCGTCGTCTTTGATACACTCTGATTAACCATTGTGGATCTCTAGAGTCTAATTTGCAATATTAATGCAAGTCTCTTTAACTTACGGATTATGAAGAGCATCCTAAGATCGTTTAATTTGATTCAGGCTTTATGTGGCTAATGTTTGGTCTTGGATGTGAATTAGTCTATCATGTTTCTTGGAAGGTAGGAAGCAATCTTGATGTTTACCAAAATCCAATGTGCTCTTTTGTAGCTCAGTTTTGAAATATGTACTAATTATTGTAGAGGGAACCCGAAACAAAGAGACCATATGTATGATTTTAAATGCGAAGAGAAGCTCCGAATTTGAAATCGTCTCCACTCCGGTGATATGTGGCCATGGTGTGAAGGAGTCTGGAGCCATGGTTATTTCAGATTCGGACATAACCGTAATTGTTAAACTAATAAAAATAAGATCAAACGTACCGGATTGATGAGAATTTTTGGTGTTCTTCGTCATGTTCTTCGTCGTATGGATCTAACAAAACAAAAAAAAAATATATATACCCCATAATTTTTTTTTTTTGTTAATAGAGAGAACCCACCAATTTTGTAGCGTTGATTGTGACATCGAATTGTTTGTCGGATGAATATAAGTCTCTAATCCGGAGAATGAAGTTGAACCCTAACAAAAACATATATTCATAGCATAAAATTCATAAATAAAAGGTAGAGCATCACATAGCTTTTTCTTCAAAGCCAACACATCTCTCTTTGTAGCCGAATTACTCTCCAGTTTGGTATATACTCAAATTTTCCAATGACTTCCTTCTCGAACCTGGAGCGTTTTTGCTTTGCCGGATATTTTTAGGATATGGCTCTTAAGTATCTCTTGTGAGTCACTTGATATGTTGTTTAGGTAAAACTTTTGGTTTGAAAGAGAATGATCTACGACAAGCATAATCGGTTATTTGTTATATATGTGGCCATGTTCATATTGCTTTCTCCACAAGCAATTTTCCTGTTTTGTAGCATTCGATATTTAAATTTAAAAGCTTCAATACGTTGTATACATGTGTATGTATGTACATATATGAATTATTCTCAGTTGCACATAGTGGTTTCTAATGGATAGATACTTGCTCTCTGTAACCCTCTCATTTTTAGTACCTATCTTCAGTGTTTACTTTGCTAAGAGCTTCTTGATAGGCATACATCTTTGCAATCTCAGATCAATATACTACAAATACATATACGATACAGTTAAGAAAATTATATTTCTCTTACAACTTTTTATATGGGTTTTATAAACAAGAGATCAACTGAAGGGTTACGCAGCGACCAATGGCGAAGGTAGAGACAAAGATACTACAATAGGGACGATAAATATGACACGATATATACAAAGGAGATGCCTGTTTCTATACCATTGAAATTTTACGTACATAACTACTTCAAAGAGCAAGATGACTTACTTGATAGGTAAGAGATATGGTAAGAGATTATATTTTTCAATTATTTGTTTCCAACTACGAAAAACTCCAGTGACATACAATCTAAAAGCATGAATATGTCATAAAATCAAGAATACAACAAAAACCAGGAAGATGGGCCCAAATTAAAGTCCAAAACTGGACGTGGGGAACCCACGGACAGTGGCGGTCGGAGCGTTACAAATATGAAAGAAACGAGGAAGCGTGAATATGTCATAAAACCAAGAGTACTACAAAACCAAGAAGATGTGCTCAAAGAACGAAACTGGACGTGGGAACCCACAGACAGTGGCGGTTGTGGCATTACAAATATGAAAGAAACGAGTAAGCATGAATATGTCATAAAATCAAGAGTACGACAAAACAAAGAAGATGGGCCTAAAGACCGAAACTGGACGTGGGGAGCCCACAGACAGTGGCGGTCGGGGCGTTGCTAATATGAAAGAAACGAGTAAGCATGAATATGTCATAAAATCAAGAGTACGACAAAACAAAGAAGATGGGCCTAAAGACCGAGACTGGACGTGGGAACCCATGGACAGTGGCGGTCGGGGCGTTGCTAATATATTGTTGGTTTAAATATATAGATTTTTTATATTTAATTCTATTATATATATCAAGATATAAACACTAATAATTATTTGTGATTCAAAAACACTATTAATTGTTGATTACTAATAATATATATCAAAATTTATAGCGTTTTACCATAATTCTATATTAATGTCGTTATAAAAATTAGACTCTTGACAAAATTAATTCAATAAATATCCCTAATTTGATAACCCTAAATATTAATTATTAATTCTGGTCTTAATCAACATACAACCCCGCGCTAGGCGCGGGGACCTCCCCTAATATTCACATATATCATAACAAATTTTGCATATCCACTCACAAAATCTTCTTAAAAGAAATATGAAAAACATGTTTTCTTAAATAAATTTAAATCGAAAAATATTGCATACCGTATTTATCTCGTATCTATATATTTTAAAGATCACATCAAAATCATTCTTTATTCCATACCTTAAAAAAAAAAAATGGCTAACAGGCCGCTAGAAACAGAGACCGGATTCCCAACGCCACCGTCGTCCACCACTGATCACCCTCCTACTTCACGGTGGTGGACACAATCATATTCATTATTAACTCGTCGTTTTATTTTGGAATTGTAATTCCGTCGAGTACATGCTACTCATAGACTTTATGTTCAATAATAAGATATGAAAAATAACAAGTGTTTTTCCCGCACATTTTTAAATTATAACTAAATTAGAAAAATTTCATTCATCTATTAACTAGTAGTTTTTGGTGTTTTAAAAAAAATCATTACTATTCATTCATCTTGAAACTGTTGTTATTCTATTGATTCAGTTAGTTTATAATTTAGTTATTCCGGTATTTAGCTCCTAATCTAATAAACCGGTCAAGCCCCAATTGTTAACGTCATAAACTGAATTAGATAAAGATTTCGTATGATATTTATAAAAAGTTGAAAATCTAGTTTTAGTAGATGAATTTCAGTTTGCTTATTTTTCGTTATATTTTTAACACGCTAGTGGTATATAGCGAAATCATTTTTCTAAAATATGAAAACTCGATAAGCATTTTGAATGTAAAATAGCACAAACGCGTTTTCACGTTTGAAAACGTGAACATGTGGTTTACAATTATTTTACAGTATAAGAAAAGATAACTAAAAACAAATCAAATTAGCAAGAAACAATATATTTGAAAGTATGCGATGTTTTATACTGTACGCTTTACTCGCGAATGGATGATAAAATTCGTTATTTTTCTTTATCGTAATTGTCATAAACCCAAAATGTTTGGCTATCATATTTTTGATGAAACTCTAATTAATCTTCGTCGTAGTCTTTTTTCTAATGCCGCTGATGATCCGTTTCGTTCGAACATGAATTCTCTTTGAAATCGCGCTATGCCCATTGGAAACTTCTCCAATTAATGGTCAAGTTGCGGAATTCCTCATAGTTGAGTTGAGCTTCATTCTGGCTTCCAATGCACAGTGTTTTTTTTTTTTCCGGATAAGCTAAGCAAGAGTGATAAATGCCCATTTGATCCTTACGGATCTGAGCATCCTCAACGGTGAGGCTCTCAAAAAGTGTGTTTGATTAATAAAATATAATATTTTATTATAATTTTCTTATATCATTAAATTTAAAGTAAGTAATTAAATTCAACCAAAAAAACTGGCAAGTGAAGTCTTTACAAAATATGGATGCGGCTCTTAAACAAGACTTTTCAGAATCAATTCTCTCACAAATGTTTCTCTTTCCTTCTTTTTTTTATTTTATTTCATTATCTTAATTGTTAAAATTTGGGAGAGAACTAGGGACAGAACTCCCGTTGGAGTTGGTCCAAGCACATACTTTACGGCCATCTTTGTGTGAAGTACCTTTCCACCAATTCCGTTAGCAAGCATCGAATAAGACTTGACAAATACTTAACCGAAGAATCAATTAATATCATGTCTTATATATCTCATGCATTACCACTCTTGCGTTATCCTCCACTAATATTCCAAATTGCATAAACGGATATTGGGTTTTAGGTCATCATCTTGTAGAGACTCTTATCTAATAGAATTGTTAACAGTAATTTTTAAAAATTTGGTTATAAGCGGTAATTAATTTCTCAAAATAATTAATACACTTCTCTTTGAAGAATATGTAAACAATTGGTAAATATTAAGTGAAATCAGTTGTTAACAAATAAAAATAATATAGTTCACACAAATGGAAGAAAAAAAGATCTCGAGTCAAAACAGAAAAAAAAAAAAAGATTATGATGAAAAGGCCTAATCATAAGAACTTATCCATCAATCAAAGTCTCCAACTTTGTGTAAGAAGAGTGACATTGAATCCTCTCAACGTTCTCATAGCTTCGGGTTAGATTATGACACCTGATATCAATATGTCCAGCGTTATCAAAGACATATCTGTAAACCTTATGAGTCGCCTTTAATTTGATATATAATTCTTCGAAAACGACTCCGTTTGGATTACCCTCGGCAACGAAATCCACTGAGAAGGCCGTGTGACTTCGAGACTTACGTTCGTGAAAAGTATCTAAAACGGCAGCGTTTAAAGGACCGAGACTCACGGTAGTTTCATCGGCTCCGTAGTAGATAGAGTACCTGCAAGACTATAGACAGAAGCAGCTAGCCATTGCTTCGAGCATCAGATAAATATATCAATTAAAAAATATTTAATATTAGTTGGAGTGGTGTGAATACCTGGAGCTAGGGTTTTTGACGAGGAAATCAAGTGCCACGTGGCAGAGGAGGGAGAGACAGCGATGGATTGGATGGAGAATTTGGCGTGGCAGCGAGCATTATCGATGACGTGAAAGAGCAATAAATAAACGGCGAGGATGGTGAATAAGCCGGCCCAACAAGGTGTACAGCAAACCGTAGTTTCCATACAAGTGGCTTCACGAACATGCGTTGGCGGTATAGTCACTATTGGTCGTGACCACCATCTACGACGAGGAGGAGGAGTGGCCAAGGACGATGGAATTGGATATCCGGTCACTATTTCTGGCACGGAGGAGGAAGCCATTTTTATTTTTGTTCTCTCTTTTTGTGTGTGTGTGTGTTGGTTTGGAGAGGAAAGAAAGATTTGATGTTAGCCTAATCGTTAATTATATTGACGGTGGGGGAAGATGGTGAATATACACAATAATTTCGATGATATCTCTCTTTTCTTTTCTTTGTAATTTTATGTGTTGATAATCATCAAATTTTCTATATGATTGTTAGATATATCGAGGATATTATTTATTTAACTAAGGATATGAATTACCCAATTTTATAGACTTTTTTTCGTCGAAATAAATTTTTATTAACAATTGAGTAAATCATTAAGGCATTAGGTGGAATCGATGATCCCCAACATTTTGCTATGCCATTATGATCCTTAATAACAATCCATCCATTCGAGACTTTTTTGTGTAGTTGTTCAAAACTTGCATCAAAATTACGTTTAACAAAGGGAGAGAAGCGATCGTTTCCAGCTTAAAGAAGTTGTCTTAGTCTTAAAGATAAAATCCAAACAATCAATTTTATCTCTTTTTGATATTTAAAAAAACAAAAAGCAAAAGAAAAGTTTTGTTGAAGAAAAAGAAAAGAAAATAATGAACAATTTAGAAAATTAAATCGCTTTCTATTTTTTACCAATTCGAACTAATAACATAAAACGAAATAAATAACCTAAGCCAACAACTCTCGTAATAGAAATCATGATTTCAAGATGGGAGAGATTAAGCCAATTGTTTCTGGAATATATAATCACACCGTTTCACATTTCCAAGCAACGATCCCATGACCTTCCCCGCCTGATCCGTCGTAAATTTCACCGGAATAGCAGGACAAGCCGCCATCAAAAAACCATTTAAATATCTAGCATTTGTATTCATCGCAAACATAATCTCAACTCGAGAATCCCAAATCACGTCGCCAATAACTTTCGGCATAACCACCTTCTCGAAAACGACTTCTGTTTTGTCTCCGGTGACGAAATAACCCGCGGACGGAGACGATGATTTGGAGATAACTTCGCTGCCACGGAGTAAACGCGAATTGAGTGTATGAATAGAGACTTCACAGCCGGTGACTGGACTCCTCGCAACGAAACCGATCGTCCAATCAGCGGCCGAAACGTTTGCGTTTGCGTTTGAGACGGAGACGGAATTGGCAAAAAGCTCTACGTAACAACTATCTCTTACGCCAAGTTTGCTAAGACCTAAAGCATAGAGATATAAAAGGAAGAAGGAACCAATCACAGAAAAGTAATAAGTGCAGCAACAAACTGGATTAATGTCCATGGGCTCGTTGGGTGTTGTGGTTGAAGTTTCCAGGTTACATTGGCCAGGTTGGTGAATGAGGCCGCATGAGATACATCGAGATCTTGACATTTTGGAGGTTTTAACACGTACGTTCTGATGAAATTTTTTTACAAGTTTACAGCATATATACTTGAATAAATTTTGATTTTATATTTATCCTTTAATTTTTTGTAAGATATATATACCATGTTTGTTTAGTTACTTTAATAATATTTTTATTCGAAAGCAAATCTACGGGATATCTTTTCTTTTATTGTTGGCTCAATCTACGGGATTTTATGGGACTTAGCCTTGTTTATCTACTTTAATTATTAACATTAAATATTAATAAATACATAGTTTGTAAAACTAAAACTTTCAAATGTGCTTAAAAATATTATTAACTCTCTTTTTAATATGCGATAATTATTGAGTAGTGAGTTCTAAACTTTTACCTCCACTTATATTCAACTTGTTCTAAATAAAACTAAACAAAGTTCAAAAAAATAAGAACTTTCAAATGTGCTTAAAAAGAGAGTTTAAAATTTTAAATTACTAAGCATTCAACAGAAAATAAAGGAAAGTGGAACTTAATTTTTAACGCTAGGATCGGGAGTACTTAGGAAACTACAAATACATAACAAATGTTTACTACTAATTTTTTTTTTTTTTAAATATCGTTTTCCTATGTGGTAGATTTGAACACACGATCATGAAGCCAAATATAAATAGTTACATAATCTACAACAACCAAACCAAAATTGCGAGAAACGATAAATCCAAAACTGTAGCACACATACAATCAGTTAACTAAGTCGTCACCAGAGAATAGGAACTCTACTGGATAAATGTAGCCCTGAATAATTCTGTTGAATCGCCCTTCTCTTAAATGGATTATTTCTAGCAAGATTGTCTATATCTACTTTAGCAAAAAAAGAAAAAAAAGTGTCTATATCAAATAGAATAATATTAAAAGTTATTTTTATTCGTTAAATGCGATGATTAAGATCAGAAGGGCGATTGTTTTTGCGTTGGTAATTTACTGGAAATCTGTTTTTCTTCCATATAATTGTGTGAACTAGTATTATTTTCATTTTTCTATTTTGTGAAAATCTGATTCCATTTAAGATAAACAAACTTTTTACATAGTCATCAAAGAGAAGTGTATTAAAAAAAGATGTTGGATTTATCGCATTTAACCAAAAATAATAATTAATCGAGTGAATAACAAGAAAAAAACAAGAATACGATGAAAAAGCCTAATTATCATAACGATATCTTTACAAAATCTTCAATTTTGTGAAAGAAGAGTGACATTGAATCTTCTCAACGTTCTCATGGCTTCGAGTTAGATTACGACAACTTATATCAATATGTCCAGCGTTATCATAGTCGTCTCCGTAACTCTTATGCTTAGCCCTTAATTTGATATCTAATTGTTCGGAAACGGCATCATTAGGATTACCCTCCGCAAGGAAATCCACTGAGAAAGCCGTGTGACTTGGAGACTTACGTTCGTGAGAAGTATTTAAAACGGCAGCGCTTAAGAGACCGAGACTCACGTCAGTTTCATCGCCTTTGTAGTAGATAGCAAACCTGCAAGACCATTGGACAAAAGAAGCCATTAGAGCATCATATTAATATGACAAAAATAAAAATATGGGAACAAATTAAATACCTAGGGCTAGGGTTTTTGACGAGAAAATCAACGTGCCATGTGGCGGAGGATGGAGAGACGGCGATGGATTGGATGACGAATTTGGCGTCGCAGTGAGCATTGTCGACGAAGTGAAAGAGATATACACATACGGCGATGATGGTGAATATTGCGGCGCAGAAAGGTGTAACGCAAACCGTAGTTTCCATACATGTGGCTTTACGACCATTCGTTGGCGGCATAGTCACTATTGGTCGTGACCACCATCTACGAGGAGGAGGAGGAGTGGCCGAGGTTGGTGGAATTGGATATTCGTTGTAAGGATTGATTTGGAAAGCCATTCTCTCTCGTTGTTTGGATGGTTTGGAGAGGAAAGAAATAGTTTGATGTTAACTTAATCGTTAATTATAGAGACGAGAGGGGGATCAATGGTTAATATATATATATATATACTGTATACAATAATTTCGATTGATCTATCTTTTGTTTTTTTTTCTTTCGTTAAAGTTTTATGTGTTTTTAAGATAATTATGATATTTCGGGGGTATTATTTATTTAGAATCACAATAAAAAAATATTAATTACACATCTTTTAAATTTTTTACGTTTAGTAAATATCCGAATCTACCATAATTAAATTTAATAAATTGTGTAAAATCTCAAATATCTTACTTTCTTTTTCAAATGTGTCAATGTATTAAATTCTTTGGCCTTGAATGTCCTATCTTTTGTCCTAAAGACAACGAAAGTTTTTTTAAAATTTTTATTTATTTAAGGTTGTATATAGAAGGGAAAAAAAAGAAGAATGTAAATGATTAAAAAAGCTTATACTCGGCCCAATCTACCAAACTCAAGGGCCCAATATTCCAAACTCAAAGGCCCAATGGTTTCTTTCAGGAACAAAATAAAAAAATTGAAAATTGCGTTCTTCCGCCATTGACGTATTCGATGATGTAAGTTAAGGGAAGCTCCACAAGATTCTTCGTCTTCTTCAGGTATCTGAAGTCGTCACTAAACACGTCAATCACAAATTCCTTTTGCTTTTCCTCTCTGACAATCTTTCTACACTTCCTCTCTCTCTATATATATATCGACTCTTGAAACTGATTTGAAAGAAGAAGAAGAAGAAGCCTAACGAAGAACAGTCGAAAAAACTTGGACTTCTTTTTATTTGGAGCTTGAATCGCTAAAAATGGAAGGGATTGAATCTGGGTCTAGACAAGGAAAGAGAGTGGTTGTGATCGGCGGCGGAATCGCCGGCTCTCTCGCCGCGAAATTGCTTCAGTTCGATGCTGATGTCACACTCATCGATCCGTAAGTTCTTTCACCAAATTCTCAAAAACACCATTTTTTATTTGATCTTGAAAGCTTCAAAACTTGTGTTGAGATCAGGAAGGAGTACTTTGAGATTACATGGGCAAGTTTGAGATCCATGGTGGAGCCTAAGTTTGCTGAAAGAACAGTGATTGACCACAAGAGTTACTTGAAACAAGGCCGTGTTGTAACTTCTCCGGCGATCAATATCACAGAGAGTGATGTTATGACTGAAGATGGATCTGTGATTGGATATGATTATCTTGTTATTGCTACAGGTCACAATGACTTGTTCCCTAAAACTAGACAAGAGAAGCTGTCACATTACCAAGCTGGTATGAATCTAAATCCTGACATTTGTTTCATGTGATTTCTGTTTGTTTTGGTTGCTGTTGAGATTGTGTGTGAAGATATTTTGGATGTCTTTAGTATGATTTATACAACATTTGATCTATGTTGTTGCAGAATATGAGAAGATCAAATCTTCTGGATCAGTATTGATTGTTGGTGGAGGTCCATCTGGTGTGGAGCTTGCTGCGGAAATCGCGGTTGATTTTCCAGAGAAGAAGGTTACTCTGGTGCATAAAGGACCAAGATTGCTTGAATTTGTTGGACAAAAAGCTGCTGATAAAGCATCTGACTGGTTAGAATCAAAGAAAGTGGAAGTGATATTGAATCAATCTGTGGATTTGAGTTCAGCTTCAGATGGAAACAAAACATACCGGACTTCAGGAGGAGAAACTATACATGCAGATTGTCACTTCCTCTGTGTTGGGAAACCTTTGTCTTCTCAATGGCTCAATGGAACTGTTCTGAAAGATAGCTTGGATGGTAAAGGAAGGGTTATGGTCGATGAGTACTTGCGGATTAGGGGTCGAAGCAATTTATTCGCCATTGGAGATATCACTAATATCCCGGTAAGTACATTATATCATGAAGTATATCCAGCTTTTACATAGTTTCTTGGTTAGTAGTCTTGTTTTGATTATATGATTCTTGATAACAGGAGATGAAACAAGGATATATAGCGGAGACTCATGCTAATGTGGTTGTGAAAAACATAAAGGTAATGATGTCGAGTGGGAAAAAGAAGAAGATGTCGACTTACAAGCCTGGTCCAGAGATGGCCATTGTATCTTTAGGAAGAAAGGACTCGGTGGCTCAGTTTCCGTTTGTAACAGTTGTTGGTTGCCTCCCTGGTTTGATCAAGTCAAAGGATCTGTTTGTGGGAAAGACGAGGAAGGCAAGAGGACTAAATCCTAAACTTGTATAAGGTTGAGTCCTATTTGTGTTTTCTGGTTACATCTTGAGAGATGTAAATTATGTTGTTTGTGTTGATCTCATTGTTTCAGTGTGGAGTGAGTGTTGGTTTGCTTATGTTGTTGTGTATCTAATGAAGAATATTTGAGTTCTAATCTTCTTCACTTGCATTCCAAATAGGGTCCCCTAGATCAACTAAACCGGAAAATCAAATAAGTGCAAACCGGAAATCAAACATAAACCAGAAGAAAACCAAATTAAAATCAATTTAGCTCAAATCCACCTTTTCAGCGTTCACTGAGTGTTTTTAGGTTCGATCGGAGATCTCCGGGCGGAGAAGCATACACCGGCGACTTCAATCATCCCTGTAAACCCCTGAAGCTGTCCGTTGTTGAAGAACCTCAAGCTCGTTGATAAAGTTTACTAATAAGAGTGATGTGATTGAGACTTTTGTGAGTCAAGAGGTTTAAAGATTCAGAAGATAACGATATGTCTCGTGAATTAGAGAACACTGATGATGAACCACCGAAATGTATGTAATTCGTTCCTCTCTCTGTAATAAGCTTTAAGATGCATTGTATCACGATAATCTGTGTATAATTAGTTTGATTAGGATTAGTAATTGCATACTAAGATCTTGAATTTCGACATTGTTGCTTCTTCTTTGGACTGTGATTGTATAGGGATGAAGTTTCGTTCTCTGCTGGTATTCTCGATACTTCTGCGTGTGTTTTTGATTGTTTATGGAGAATGGCAAGATGCTCATATGGAGGTACGGTACACTGACGTTGATTACATTGTATTTTCCGATGCTGCGTCGTTGATTGCATCCGGTGAGTCTCCTTACAAGAGAACCACATACCGTTATTCGCCTTTGCTTGCCCTTCTTCTGACCCCTAATTCCTTCTTTCATCGGTCATGGGGAAAGTTTCTCTTCTCAGCTTGTGGTATGACATTTCTTTTAGTTAGTTATCTCATCTTTCTTTTGTATTTCTTGTCATAACCAAAGAAAAAATGTACAAAGTTCAACCTTTTTTTTGTTTGATGATTCGTTCCTCGGTCGTATTGAATTTTGTTTTCATGTTTCAGATTTGCTGGTCGGCTGGTTTGTCCATAAGATTTTGAGAGAACGTAAGGTGCCTGAGAAGATATGTACATATTCTGTTATGGTTTGGCTTCTCAATCCGTTTACATTCACTATTGGAACCAGAGGGAACTGTGAACCCATCGTTTGTGCCATGATATTATGGATCATCATCTCTCTTATGCGAGGTAGACACTTTATTCGAGACTAGTACAACTGAATGTTTTCTCTGTAGAGTTTTATCAAGTCTGCTGCTTTTATACTTTGATACCCTGAATTGAGTTCCATGAACTAATTTATGTCAATTCAATTCATATGTGTGGTATCAATTACATTAGGTGATTATAACAAATATACTAGCTGTGGTTGATAAGCTGCGAAAGAGAAGGTTATAACAGAAATAGAATTGGATTCATTTGCTTTCTCTCTTACAAGCCAGTACATTATGTCTTCTTTATGAACTGTTTTAGACAGAGAGTAACAGATGGGGCCACGTTGAGTATTCGGGAGTAGGTTTGGGGACTTTAGGCTTTAGGGACTTTATTTCAATACCCTAAGTAAATTTGGTTTTCTTTTCCGTTCTCCATGGTTTAGTCTGCAATTGTAGTTGTGTTCATTGTTCTTCACAGAGATAAGTAAAGAGTTGTTATTATGCGATTCTCCTGTCCTGTTCTTATCAGTGGAATATCCAGTTTGTTAATCCGAAAAACTATATATTTTGCTGTGTAGGTAATCTGTCACAAGCTGCATTTTGGTATGGGCTTGTTGTGCATTTCAGGGTCTATCCTATTATTTATGCGTTACCAATCATCCTGGTTCTCGATTCCCAGATATTTAGATCTGGTCAAAAGCCTGCTCTCGAGGATTGGAATACCGGTCAGGCCAAGACACCTATCAGCAACACGGAGAGAAAAACATTCCTCTTCAATCTCTCTACCACCTTAAAAAGTTTATTTTCCAGGGAGAGAATCATGTTTGCTTTGATATCCGGGGGAGTTTTTCTAGCTTGCAATGCTGTTTCTTTCTATTTTTATGGACACAAGTTCCTGCACGAGGCTCTCTTATATCATCTGACTCGGACAGATCCAAGGCACAACTTCTCCATCTACTTCTATCACATATATCTTCACTATGAGCGCCAGTTTTCAGCTGTGGAGAAGCTTATCTCGTTTTTACCCCAGTTTACAGTACAGTTTGCTCTAGTCTTCTGCTTCTCACAGGATCTAGTGTTCTGCATCTTTCTCCAAACCGTTGCATTTGTGGCTTTCAATAAGGTATGTAGCGAATCACTCTGTTCTCATATCTGTCCGAAAAAGTCTCCAACTGTTCATTTTCTTATGCATTCCTCAGTGAGCTAAAGCCTTCTGGTCTTGATATAATGTTTATCGCCTCCTTTGTCTATAGGTGATAACCGCGCAGTACTTTGTGTGGTTTTATTGCCTGCTACCCCTGATTCTACCATGGAGCCGTATGAAGCTGAAATGGGAAGGCTTGTTATGCATCATTATGTGGATCGGAGCTCAGACACATTGGCTCTTATGGGGATACATGCTCGAATTCAAGGGTATTAACGTCTTTTTACCGCTATGGATCGCGAGTTTGCTGTTTCTGGCTGCAAACACCTTCGTCCTCGTCAGAATCATACAACGCCATCGATTCTCTCCTCTCTTCAGACGGTATGAATCGTCCACCTCTTCAAAGAATATTACAAAACTTGACTGAGCCTAATCAAAGTTCTTTGCTCTCTTGGTTTGTTGGGTCATTACCATCTAGTGAGACCTTCGAGTTTATTGCTTTTGTATATGATTCATGATCTGCAAATTTTGTTGGTGTCTGTTTTTTATTTGATATGTATTCTAAGGTTCGTTAGGATTTTCTCAAGAATAGTCCATTGAGGAATTTATAAAGCGATTTATTTACCATGAATATGAAAGAGCTTGCTTGTGCTGGATTCATTGTACAAGAGAGACTGCAAAGAGCTGTATAAACAAGCATCATCATGTAAAGCGTAGATTGCTATTTACATTTCTATAAATGTGAATATTCAAACTTTGATATATAACCATGAAATTCCGGGCTTTTGTCACATAATCTTCCCTTACCATGACCCATCTAGTGGAAAGTACCATCAAAGATAGATCAAATCTGTCTTAACAAAGTTCGAACTTGGAACCAAGGATTCAATGTCATTACTACGGATCTTTGATTAAAATTTAAAATTTGTTTTTAATAGAACTATATAACTGATATTTTGCAAAATATAATTACAAGGTCCCAAATATTCACCTAAATTTACAAAAAAAAAAAAAGTTTTTGGACAGCTTTGAGTTGTGAGTTGAGTAATACAGTTTTGTTTCATCTTATTTCCTTTTAATTTTTCTTTTAACATGTTTTAAAATTTCAAATTGATTACGATGATATATAAATAAGAAGCACAGAATCATCGCTTTCTGGTTCGTGTGGATACGTGTGAGAATTTCTGAAAGCGTCAGACTTGCTGAGACCTAACTATGGAGAACACACGGCCAAATGAAGAAGGAAGAATAAGTGAACCAAATTGGAGCGAGCGCGTGGAAGATCTCGTAGCAGCCGGCGACGTCACGGCGGCGATCTCGTTTCTCGAGTCTTTGGAGACCAATCTTCAGTCACGATTGGGTTCTTCCTCCTCCAGCGAGAGAACAGAGTTTGTGTTGCAATTAGCAGCCGCTCTTACGCAATTGGCGGATCTCTACTCTTCTCAGGGACTTTCCCTAAAATCCGATGAGCTTCGAATTCGTTCTTCCCTTATTAAGCAACGAGCGTTGGATTGTGATCGTGCTTCTTCAAGTACACTACTGATTTTGGTTGATCGGAAAAAATTAGGAGAGATATGAGAAATGTGTTGCGGAAATTGTATATGCTTCATCGATTTTAGGGTTCATTTGTGGTTTATGATTGCAGAGATTCCGGCGATGTAGAGAATCAAAGTATTGCTTCCAATGGACTCAAGTCAGACGCAAATGTCTCACCTGCTGATGGTTGTTTATCTAGAGTGCCCATTCTATCTATCTGATTTAGCCTTTTTATGCTGTTATTGATCGCTTTTCATGGATCTATAAAGGGAAAACAAAGGATTCCACAAACGTACCTAGCAATAATTCAGCTGCTCATGATTCTTCAGATGATGGTATGTTTCATGTTGTAACTCAGAGGATGCATTAACCTTATCATGCAATTGTTGTATGTGTGTATGTTTAAATGACCTTAATTTTGTTGCAGATTGGGAAGCTCTTGCAGATCTTGAACCGAGTAAATTACTCCCCGTGGAAGAGTTGCCTGAAATATCAAAGCTTTCGGTTGAAGAACCTAAAGTTGAAGGACCTAAGAGACGTGGAAGAGGAACGTTTACTTATAAGAGGGATGCAATGTATAGTGATCGAGATTTCTCTGAGTCAAGGTTTGATGATTCAGAAGATAACGATTTATCTCGTGATTCAGAGAAGACTGATGAATCACTGAAATGTAAGCTCAATGTTTCCTTTCTGTTTTTGGATTGTAGTTTCTGTAACAAGCATAATCAGTATGTTAGATTATTTTGATTTGGATTTATATGCTGCATGTTCTAAGCACAACATTTTAATTGCAGCCAAGTATGGCACACGCCATGTCCTCGTACTTGCTGATTTTTCTCCAAGTTTGAGAACTGCTGATTTGGAGAAGCTATTTAAAGACTTCAAAGATAGTGGATTTATCATTCGTTGGGTCAATGATACAACAGCACTTGCAGTCTTCAAAACCCCTGCAGCTGGTATATATATGTTATTTGATTTTTCATCATACATTCCTGATTAACTAGGAAGAATTTTAGTTTTATCCCACTAAAGCATTAATATTTCCCTGTTCTAATGTTGCATTGGACTTGATCTAGGGTTGAACCACATAAAATGTACGGCTTAGTTGTGGTTTTGTATTTTTACAGCTAAAAATGTAACGTCTGCCTTTGTTGCTAAGTTACAAATCAAATAGAGTTTCTCCTGTACAGCTAACTCTCACTGTGTGTTTTGAATATTATACAGCTCTAGAGGCTTGCAACCATGTTCAATGTTCATTCACCATACGTGTTCTCGATGATCACGATTCTCTTTTGGGCTCGATTTCTGGAAAAGGTACTCTACTCCTTTTTACTTTCATGGTTCTGTAGAATTATTCCCTCTTTCAATCAGAAATAAGCTTGCCCACCAAAACTCTTTTTGCTTTCTTTCACTTCTATATGTCATAAAGTTACGAACTTTAACACATTATTCTTCCTTTGGTCAAGCTGTCTAACTAATGTAACAACGAATCACATAGATCATGTTAAATTGTTGTTACTCGTGTGACCATGTTATGTTCAATCAATTTCAGATTTGGAACCACCGTCTCAAAGACCAAAGACATCAGCGAGAACAGCTCAAAGGTTGATTGCTCATAGCATGGGATTGAAGCTACCGGCTTCTGGATTCGGGTCTAAAGAGCTACGAGACCAAGAAGCTGCCCGGAAAAACCGGATTGTCTCGAGACAGAAACAACGTGAAGATGCTTGGGGAGATGACTGACATTAACCATACAGTTTGGATTTCCTCAATTTTCCGGCTCACCGGATCTATATTTTGTGTGTCTGCTTATTGGTATATACAACCTCAATCCCCTTGAGTGATTCTTATAAGCATTGCTAGAGCTTGTTTGTAGTGTTTTGTGTATCAAAACCGTTTGAAAATACTTTAACCGGAAATGAAATCTGAACCGGTTATTATAATACTATCCAAAGTTCTAGATCACCCGGTTTAGCTAGAGGGGCAATAATGTAAATAACGTATTCGCAAAAGACCAAAGAATTTTCACCGATTAGGGCTCTTCCGAGACATTCGTTTCCCGCCGATTTGGTGATTTTTCAGAATTTTGCCGCCCAAAAAGGAATTAAAGAGAAAAGGAAAAAAAAAAAAGGTTTCGCAGATTCAGAGAAAGCAAAAAGAGAAGTAGCGAGAATGAGCAGCACCAGTCAGAAGAGGAAGAAGATACAGAAGAAATTCAAAAACAGAGGCTACAACCTCAAATTCGATGCCTTAGACGAGATTCTCGTTTTCGCCGATCAATTTCCCGACGACGCTGACGGAGAAGCTATCGATCTTCTCCTCGATAACCTCCAGGAATCGCGTATGTGGCCCAATTTGTTACTCTCTCGTATTATTCTGCGTAGGATCATCGATTCTGAAGTGAGTTGGGGTTTTGTTAAAAATGATGCAGATAAATCTTCCACTGTCGACGCGGAATCAGTTCGAGGATTGATAAACCAGTTGTTGGGAGCTCATAACGCGCCGGAAGAACCTACAACATCTGCTTCTTCCTTGGCCGTCATCGACGCCTTTCTGATTCCAAAGTTTGGATATGATTCCGTTAAAAAAAAGTTCAATGAGTAAGGCCACTCTACTTGTCCTACTTATCTTAAATTCTAGGTCAATGCCTAGTAATCATTTCGTTGTCCAGTGAGTTTCTAAAGATGATTTGATGAATTAGTATGTGGCTTTCTTTTCTAGTTGGGATAAGATTTTGTTCTACTTGTGTTGGTAAATGATGGAGCTTTATAGTAATGAAACGTTCACTGTCGCTTGCGAGTTGTTGATTTTAGAACCGATTCGACTCATTGAAATATATGTTACTAGGCATACGAGTAGCCTGCCTATTCATGGTGAGGCTTCTGCAAAAACAGCATTATACAGGGAGCGATTCATGTTGCTGTCGCAGAGAGTTTCTCGCGCAGAGCATTTTTCTAGGCCAGCATTTGATGCTGAAATGTCGCAGTTTGAGAACAATGAGGTTGGTCTAAGTTTCCTGTTCAATGTTTTTGTTCCCGTTTTCTTTTGGGTTCTTGTGTTAAAATATGAGACTAAGGAGTTTGTGGCGTGTTCTTTCTAGTAGATATCTTCAATCCAGTCTCTAATTTCTCAAAGGGGAAGGAAATGGGTGATGGGAGTTATATCACAGTTAGAAGATGGACATTTCTACCTGGAGGACCTTTCAGCTTCTGTAGAGATTGATCTGTCCAAAGCAATATCCTTTTCTTAATGTGGGAACATAAAAAATCTGGGATAACATTTGAACATAAAATTTAAAGTCTCATGCTTATAAAGACAGCAAAGAATGGCATTTGAATTATTTGTGCTATGAATAGTTTTCTCTAACAATCAGTACAAGATAACAACAGGATTCTTCACAGAGAATACTATAATTTTGGCAGAAGGTGAAATGCAGGTGAACGGTATCTTTCAGGTAAAGGCACTTTTCTGCTGGGCCTTTCTCTCCCCCGTTCTGAGTTAGTTACTTTTAAGCCGGGGAGATATTTGTATAATCTGCTGAGGTGCACATTCATAGATTCTACGATTTTTTTGTTATTATTCATATCAGGGTCAAGATATTAGCTATATGAAGGAATATAGAACTAAGTCATGTATAGGGTCTCCTCTGTGACAAAACATAGTTACTCAAGTCTCCGATAAACACTTGAATAGATTCAAGGGATTATGCAAATGTTCGTTCTCATCTCAGTTTTTTAAAATATGTTCTTTGACCAACTCGTCCTCTTCTAAAAGTGTATTCTCATCTTGTGGTGAAGGTGATTACATGCGGATTTCCTCCTTTAGAAGACAGGGACAAAACTCTAAAGGCACATTCTGAATACGACTTCTTTGGAGGCGGCACACTAACTAAAGAAGAGACGGTAATCTTTGATTCGTTGTTTGTACTCCCGGATTGAGAATTCTGTAACTTACCAATGCAAACCCTTACATAGTAGGTAAGTCACAGCAGAAATAATATGTTCTTTTTGCCTGCCAACAGATTAGACTTGCAGACCTCGAAAGACAAGCGGTGAGTGACACATTTGTCATATTGTCTGACATATGGTTGGACGACGAAGAGGTGAGTTGAAGTACCAAGTACTCTTTTTAGCATCAATCTTTTGTGGCATTGTTTGATCGCCACAATATGTTGTCCGTAGAGAAGGTTATCAGGAAGCTGGAAACTGTTCTTGACGGTTTTGAAAGTGTGGAGACAGTACCGTCCTTGTTTGTTTTTATGGGAAACTTTTGTTCTCGCCCATGCAACTTATCCTTTGGTTCGTATTCAAGCCTTAGGTAAGGGATCATTGTTGTTAGAATCTCCTCAATTGTTAAATGGAAATTTGTTCTTATATATTCTTGATGACATGTATCTGTTTCATTCGCAGGGAGCAGTTTGGTAAACTTGGGAGAATGATTGGAAATCATCCACGGCTAAAAGAAAATAGTCGGTTTTTATTCATTCCAGGTCCTGGGGACGCAGGTACCATCACGACCAGTAGTATCTAAATAATCTTTGACAGAGGTCCATGAGGCGACCTGACTTATAACAACTCATGATATCTGACAGGTCCCTCAACAGTCTTGCCAAGATGCGCTTTACCGAACTATTTAACTGAAGAGCTTCGAAACATTATTCCCAATGCAATATTTTCAAGCAATCCTTGCAGGTGAGTTTCTATACTATGTGTGAACTCTCTATTGTTTATCATTAGGGTTTTTCTTCTTCTGAATTGTTAACATTGGATTTACTGAGCCGAACACAAAAGCGGCAGCATAATCTGTGTTTGTAAAATGCAGAGTAAAGTTCTATAACCAAGAGATTGTGTTCTTCCGACAAGATCTTTTGTATCGGATGCGTCGTTCATGCTTAGTAGCCCCTTCCACAGAAGAAACCAAGGACCCTTTTAAGCATGTAAACACATCTCTCGTCTCCATTATTTTCTTAGTATGATTTAAAAGTTTTTCGGGTAATAATGGAAACTCCTGAAACGTGTTGGTACAGCTTGTCTACACAATAACACATCAGAGCCATCTATGTCCTCTACCTCTCATGGTGCAACCCATCATTTGGAACTACGATCACTCTCTTCGACTGTACCCAACTCCTCATACGGTATTCATAAATCTTCTTATTTCATGATTAAATTCTGCACAAACCCCGCCTTAAAACAAAGGATTGTTGTTGTTTTAAAACAGATAGTATTAGGTGACAAGAGTGAGCAAAATGTGTGCAAATTTGGGGGAACAACATGTTTCAATCCAGGCTCCTTTTCAACTGATAGCACCTTCGTAGCTTATCGACCGTCCACTCAAGAAGTCGAACTCTCTGCTTTGTGATTCTTTTTAACAATTTCTCCGAGAAGATCAATTGAGTGCCATTTTTACCATACAAGCCTGAGCTTAAAAGGTATAAAGAAAGAGTGAAAAAAACATATACTTCATTCCCTATTCTTTGCTTCTACTTCTTGTAACCAAGTATTCTCTGTGTGTCTTAATGTAACCAAATCTTAGTCATAAATTAATAATTCAGAGAAGGGTCGATCTAAATCAACAAAATAAAATATTATCAAGACGACAATGCACAAATTTAAATGTAAATTGCCATTATAATAAGGTCAAAAATACACAGCCATATTTCAAACAATAGAAAAGCGTATTCATTCAGACAAAACTGTAAAGCTGATTGTGTTAAAAAACACAACTGTGAGAAATCAAGACAGCTTTCTGGAGAGGTTAATTAAGCCACTTCCGGTGCACTTGAGTATAACAGTCCCAGTCAATGGATCAGGTTTGATGACAAACTTAACTCCAAGAAACTCCATTATGTTCCTCAACGTCTCCACTGCATATGGAGATAATGTTCCAACTCGAACCTTTGACACATCTTGTTCAGATAACGCGCACAGTAGAAACAACAATCCCTGTAAAAATCCAGAGAATCAACAACACACTCACTTATAGTCTGATCGATCTTGGTGTCTATGGTTAACGTTTTAGAATTTAAACGTACCTGGTGTGTTGAATCAACAACTCCACCTTTTTCAATCTCTTGAAGAAGCCATGAAGCTACTTCAACTCCAGTGTCTTCTGCTGGCAATCTCTCTTTCTTCTCTACATCGAGCTCTCCAGTTTCGTCTGGTCTTTCACAAGACACTGTTGTATCTGCAGACATGTAACACCCTGTGGTTGTTTCTGCTACCAATGATATTCCGTATCCAGGAGATCTGCAATCACGTATTTTTTTTCAGAAAGGTGAGCTTTACTCAATCAAGCATCTCTAGTTTTTACTTTTAGCTAAAAATCCTCTTACTTTCCAGCCTGAGCGCCAACTCTGTGATCTTGGAAAATGTGAACATCAGGCAGGAGATTGTTAAAGATTCCACGAGCTGCAAATCTCATGGAATGTTCAAAGTCACTAGTCACTCTTGTAGAGAAAGTTATACCACGTATCTTCTTCACCATTCCTTCTTCGACCCAATGAACCGCCTGAAGCAGCGATATAACAGATAAGAAATCTATACGAAGGAATTTTTTTTTAAAGAAGGAAATGAACAAGTACATACACTTAGAGTCTTAACATTTGGAACAGTTAAGAGAATTTCTCCACCTCCATTTGGAGCTACCCCACGGGCCTCAATTTTAAGCTCCAAATCTTCTGCAGGGACTCCAAAACGCTTTATGATATTCAAGGTAGTGGAACGGAATGTGTCAACGCTCGGGTCTCTTGGATCATTTGTAATTCCTGTAAAAGTAAAATATTAGCTCGCTCGATCATAATAAATCCACATGCTTTTGAAAGCTGTTTTGGAGTAGAAGATTACATACCTTTGAGCCTAATCGAAAGGGGCTTCTTTCCAAACAATCCCAACAAAAGCAATGGCTCAAGATAATAGCCAATGGATCGACTCAGCGAGCAGGTGTGAACCAAGTTCTTCCCTCCCATTATAATTCCAGGCTTGTACTTTAATTGAGTCCCTGCCAAAATTGATACATATTAAAACTAACAAACCAATTCGAAATTAAAAAAATAACATTTTCTAATTAGATGTTTGCTCTCAAACATGATTATAATCAAAAATCAGCTGAACCCTAAATTGGTGAAACTTCAGTCCCTAAAATCAGTAAACCTCAAGTCATGAACCCTAAAATCAGGTGCAACGTTACTTACCGGTCTCGTTAACCTCAACGAATGCGTCATCGGTGACAATTTCTAAGAGGCGGAGAAGATTAACCTCGTGAGGGCGGAGACCAGGAATCATCTCGTCGGCACGAATATCATCAATCACGATAGGTGTTGAAGAAAGTGTCGAAAGAAGCAGTCTTTGCCTCAAGTTTTGGCTTCCCTTCATCCTCATCTTCATCGTCTTCCCCATTTTTTTTTTTTCTCTCGAAGCTTTTTTCTCTCTTTCTTTCTCAGACGTTTTCTTAAACCCTAAAAACCTAATGACCTTCTTCACCATTCACTCTATGAGGCTTACTTTTTATTTTCAATTTTGGGCTTCACTAGGGCCTTTTAGAGTTCTTTTTTTTCCTTTACTACTTCGAAATTATGCATAGTGCTGTTGACATTCTTTCTAATAAGAAACGATTATAACAATGGATAGAAATTCAATTATACTTGCAATAATGTCTTCATCGCTTTGTGATGGTAATGGATATTATATATACTTGAAAAATGATATAAAAACACCAAATTACTAACTAAAAAAAGTAGTATCATGATATCATCGATTGAACTTAAAGATCTTTAGTGATCGCCCACCAAATTTTCCCTGTAGATTTTATGCTACCTTCAAAAAGTAGTCACCAATAAAATCACGACAGCTAGAATAAAACCTTAATTAGTGTAATCTTTCTTTATTTGATAGTGAAACTGTTCAGAGACTTTTAGCAAACTGAAGTATGTGAAAGAAAAAAAGATAGTAAAAACTATATATCAACTTATCTCTTATTTAATTAGGTAAGTTTTTGCCCTATATATTTAGTGATCGAACTTTTTTGCCATATTGCTGTAAATTGTTGTAAGTTGTTTTTGAAGTGTTTAATTTTTTGACATTTTTTTTTTAAAGTAAGTATTTTCTTTGTGTTGTAACCTTTTTTCTAAATTATAATCTTATTAATCAACCAAATGGGCTTATCGATATACACATTTACAAAATAGGGCTCGGCCCAAAACAGAAACCCACCGAAAAAGAGATCTGATAAACGGACGGTATATCGGAAACACAAAATCTAACCTATCACACCCGACGCTAACAAGATCTATTTCTTTGCCGCGAAGAAAACAACCTGGAGTTCTTGACCAGAATTAGTGGTTTCCATCGCTAACCGAAGCATCAACCCGCATTGACAAAACTGTTGGAAGAAGAGTTTTTCCCTCAAATTTAGAAAACGCGTGTAAAGTTAGGAAAAGAAAAGATAAAACTTGCAACCTACATTGCTAACAAAAAATAAATAAATAATAATATATCGGCTTAAATGTCTAAATAATTACGTATATTTGAACGGAATCATATTTGGCCGTACCATTTGTTAAAAATTCTTACGTTCAATCAGGGGCGGAGCCAGTGTAGTGGCAGGGGGGTCAGCTGACCCCCATAACATTTATAATTTTTTTTTTATAAGGTAAGTTTTCTAATGGTTTCTGGATATTTTTCTTTACACTTTCTACAATGACCTATATGCCATGCAATTGATTTCTTTATTTGACCCCATACATATTTATTATTTTATTTACCATTAATTCTCTTTCTATTTTTATTTTTTTGTTTCCTTAAAAATAGCTATAAATCTTTTAATTGTTCTTAATATATATTTCTTTAAAAGGTCATAAATCAAGATAAACACAATAACTAATCAATATCTAGATACCATATACTTTAAGAATAAAAAGCTCTTAATACAAAAGAAAAAAGATGAACTACGGGTATATATATATATATGGTATCTAGACAGATTAGCTCTTAACACAAATGAACTAATCAATTTATCATTTAAACATATACTACTGTAATTTAATATTAATATATATATATATATATATAATTAATTATAAATGACCCCTGTAATCAAAATTTCTGGCTCCGCCACTGCGTTCAATCATACATACCTCATTTGAAGAAAAATACATGTGATCAAATGCTTTAGCTATTAAAATTCATCATCATTTAACTATTATTGCTAAACTAAAGTTACCGCTACCAATTAAACAATAGTATTGTAGCTGTTCCGATCCAAAAAATAAATTCCCCTACCAGTAAAAAAATATCCTATATATGGTGCATGTCAAAAAAATGTGGCACAAAAAAAAGCCAAGAAAACATCAGTGTGACTAATCACCAAACACCACCAATACCAAACATTAATTTTATTTTTAGGAAAAGCGATGTCTCGTCAACAAAAGAGCAAAAGACACTAGAAATATTTAACATTCCAACCAAAAAAAACAAAGACATTAGAAACCTTCTAAATTGCAACTAAACCCTTATAATTCAATTGTACGGACAATCAAGATCTAACGCATCCTTTTGTCCGTACCTTTTAAGTGTGCGTCACTCTCCATTCTCCAGTCTTTTCAATGTTATTTTGCATCTTGGTCCTTTAGTTTTACTATTACTCTTATATACACCACGTTAAAGTAGAAGCAACTTCAAATTTAGTAATTTACCATTGGACATCTTTCAAGAAAGTTTGGCAAGACTAGCACCACCCCGAATTGGATGATTCAAGCTGATATGGATAATTTTGACATGATTTATGCTACTTGTTGCAACTTGCGTTGCGTGCGGTGTTTTTTATTTTAAATATGAATATATGATCATAATTGCTTCTTTATTCTCAAAACTACATTTTGAATACAAAATAATTCGTTGTAACCACATACAAAATATATTTTTAACAATGTGACATGATTTATTCTACTTGCTTGTTGCTTGTTGCGTTTTATCTGATCCTTTCTTCTTTATTCTCAAAATTAAATTTTGAATTGGAAATAAGTTGTAACCACATACAAAATATATTTATAAACATGAAAGCTGCTTTTTCATCTTTTGCCGTATGCCTAGTCTCATGAATCGGTGCCTTCTGAATCCTCATTTATTGTCGGCCACCTTTATACTAATTATCCTATCCACTACGCAACATATTAATTACCGTTATACATTTTAGTCACACTTGATTTCTATCAATCAATATATATTTACATTTCAGAAACGTGGAAAGATATTTTTATATACAAAAATCTGTTTCATAGATTTAAACATCGAATGTTCAGGTCAGTGGCGGAGGTAGAAATTTATGTTATGGGGGTCAAAAAATTTTTTTTTAATATAAGATAATACACTAAAAACTTTAATATTTTTTTTGGTGTTTTGTAAAAACTGAAATAATATTAGGTGAGTATTTCTTTTATTTAAAGTTAATTATGGGTCTAAAATTTTAGTGAAAATCAAACTTTCAAATATTTAAACTATTTTTTCTTTCAAGTTGCAATATTAATTTTGTATTGGGGTCAAAATTTATTATAAGTTGGGGTCGTTAGAATTATT